AATTTACCATACATAAATACAGAGGTTTACGCTGATTCGAACAGTTATATTTTTGTCCTTATTTGGCGCATAAAACCAGAGATAAAGCCCAGCAAACAGTCGGTCGTGAGAGCAGTGGCGTAGCTAGCGAAATTTCACTAGTCCTGCTCTAAGACCCACACATTCTTGATTCGAACAGTGATATTTTTGTCCTTGTTTGGCGCATAAAACCTGAGATAACGCCCAGCAAACAGTCGGTCGTGAGAGCAGTGGCGTAGCTAGCGAAATTTCACTAGTCCTGCTCTAAGACCCACATATTCTAGGGGTGTGTTAATCGTTCTTTACTCGTACTACTTCTCTCGTATTTCTCACCGAAACGGTAAAAACAATCGCATATAAAACCATACAAAACAACATATATATTTTTACCCTACATTTTGTACACTATCAAGACAACAACAACGTGCTCTGTCCATTTTACTTCCGCTATGACGTATGTTCCGCTATGATGTATGTTCCGCTATGACGTATGTTACACTCCCCAGGGTTGACACGTTCATAACGAGTCAACAAAGTCTTCGAAATACTATAAATTGTCTGAACGTATTTAAATATCAAAATGTCAATAGACTGTAATTTAACTGTTCGTACTGTTCTACAACTTGCCCATCTGTTTCAACCGTTTCAATTGTCCGGTTATGGCTGCATTCCGTTGCGGTCGCTCAGTTGGACGTAATACTTGTGCGTTCGCCGTCTCTTCACTTTCTTGATCTGCGTTCTTTAATCCGTCGGTCTCACTTTCGTGTCTCACTTCAATAGGGATCAAGTGCTGGATTGAGCGTCTTAATAACTGCGAATTATTTGAGTTCTCACGAAGAACTCTGACAACAGCAGCACGAGGAACCCCGTCTTCACCGCGTAGTAGTTGCTCCACTTTCGCCAATTTCCAAAAATTACGTTTCGTTTGGTCGTTACGAATAATAACAATGTCTCCTAACGCTATCTCAGGATTTCTGTTAATTATTCTTCTGGTGCTTGATTGCTCTCGTAAAGCCAACAAATACTCGTTTTTCCATTGCTTCGTAATGCGCTCAAGCAAATTTCTATGATGCTTCGCCCTCCGAGTAAGACTTTGGTAAGTGTTTACGATTTCATAATGCTCGCTATTAGGCATGGTCGTAATCCGTCTTTCGTAAACTAAACGCAATGGTGTTAACTAGAAAGAGATTTATTCCGTATCATCGTACACATACGTTATTGGTCGCTCATTCACTATACCCTCGATTTCAACCATGAGTGTTTGGAGCTTGTCGTAAGAAAATCGCTCCCAAAATCCTCCCCACCAAGGGGCCTTTTCTACGATAAACTGCCACGTGATTTGATTGTTCGTAAGATAGCGCAATACTTCGTCGGCACGACACAATTTTCGAATCTCTGCTGATGCTGCACGAAATGTTTTCGCATTATCTGATATGAGGAGAGCGGGTAAACCTCTTCGACTTGCGTATCTTGTAAATGCTCTGAGAAAGGCTGGTAAACTTAATGATGGGGTAAGTTCAAGATGCACTGCCCTTGTCGATGCGCATGTGAACAATAGAACATATACCTTACTCGAATTATCCGACGACTTCTCTAGCTCACGACTCTCTCAAACGAACAATGGTCCCGCGAAGGCCAAACCAACGTTGGTAAAAGGGCGTTCATCTGATACTCTGCTAGCTGGAAGAGCTGGAGGCGCTGTAGCTCCATAAGGCAACGCTTCGGCCTTTCGACAAATCACACATTATTTCTTGATGACTCTTTTCGCTGCCTCACGACCACGTAATAACCAAAAACGCTCACGTATAGTCGTCAAGGTGTCTCGTAGTCCACTGTGTTTAATCTTATCGTGAACTTCGCGTATTAATAACTCAACAAACTTTGATTTGTTTGGAAGCAAAATTAGATTTTTGCTCCCCAGGTTCAATGACGCATTGTTTAATCTACCCTTGCACCTTAAGACATGATCATCGTCGAGAAACAATCCAAATTGATTCACATAAACTGGTGGAGTTGACTTCGCATTTCTCGAAATGATGAACGAAATCTCCTTATCAAATGATAAGCTTTGACTGGACTTTATCCACAACAACTCTGCCAGTTTCACTTCACTTGCAGTCAACTGTTCCAGGTTTCGATTTACTGGGTGCTTATCCTGTGTCCTTTTCTTCTTCAAGGCGTTAATGTATCTCAACACGTAAGCTGTGACACGAAGAAGTCTACTCAACGAGCTAAAACGATTGCTATCTATCACCTTGTTAAGATCAAATTCAGTGGACTGTTCGTCATTCGTTATAACAAGTGATCGTACGACATTCGAAGGTTGTTTAGCAACTTCTCGCAATACTTCATCTGGTTCTGGTTTATTAGTAGCTGGACATTTTGGCCACTGGTCTTCGTCATTAACTAAGAATTCGGGTCCGTTAAACCATAATGATTTGTTCGAAAGTTCCTGAGCAGAAATGCCACGCGAAGGCAAATCGGCCGGGTTCAAGGATCCTGGACAAAAACGCCAAGCCTCCACAGGTGAAAGACTTCTTATTTCGTTCACTCGATGTTGCACGAATTGTTTCCAAATACGACTGTTTCGTATCCAGTGCAGTGTAGTCATTGAGTCAACCCAATAGAATATTTCCACATTCCACTCGAGTGCACTCAACACCGAACTTACTAACTTCGCTTGTAATGTTGCACCGATCAGTTCTAAACGGGGAATTGTTTGCTTCTTGACAGGCGCAACTCTTGTTTTCGATGCCATTAATTTCACGTCAACGCGACTGTTCTCGTAAACTGTTCTTGTGTAGACAACTGCACCAATTGCACGCTTGGACGCATCGCTAAATCCGTGAATTTGCGTAATGAGATGATTCTGATTGGAAAGATAATAACATCTTGGCACTCGGACCGTTTTAAGGAATTCTAGCTCTGATATCAAAGCATCCCACTGCTTACGTGCATCTCCTTGCAATTCACCGTCCCAGTCAATTTTATCCAAGCACATTACATGAAATAAAATCTTAAGCTTTATCGTAAACGGAGATAAAAATCCTAACGGATCAAAGATCTTTGATGACCACTTTAACAATGATTTCTTCGTAACCGGAAGTGATTTTGCGTACTCGACCAGTTCCTCCAAATGGAACAAAAACGTATCTTCAGCAGTGTCCCATGCCATACCCAGGACCTTCACTTGTGTGGGCTCAGTTACAGTGGATTCCTTTGCAATTGTCGACTTTGTATATGACAAGTCCTCTTGAACAACGTCGGACTTACTATTGGTTGAACTATTCATTGTTCCGCTGCTTTCCAATGCATCGATGGCCTTAACTACATTATCAGAATTCGAACTCCATTTTCGTAAATTGAATCCTCCTGTACTCATCAACTGCTTCGAACCCTTGTAGATTTCTAGTGCCCTTTCATCATTTTCAGCTCCCGATACAAAATCATCGACATATGTTCAACAATTTCTGGTTTCTGCTTCTCGTGTGTTTCTAGTTGATGCTGAATGGTGGCTCCCAAGATTGCCGGAGAGGGCCGTAAGCCAAACACCAACCGACAAAATCTAAGCTTCAGAATTTCAGAGTGTGGATCTTTAGCATCTTTTAACCATAAAAATCTTAGCATATTCCTATCTTCTTCGTTGATTCCGATCATTAAGAACGCTTTCTCAATGTCCGCCACCAATCCAACCGGATTTTGCCTAAACTTTACAAGCAAGTCAAAAATTTGTGGAATGAGGTTGGGACCAGTAAGCAAACAGTCATTAAGTGAGTAGTTACGCGTCTCCGTTTTCGCTGATCCGTCGTACACGACACGTAATTTGGTGGTGGCCTTATCCTTTCGAATGACACCGTGATGTGGAAGATAGTGAATGTTTTTCTGATCCTTATCGCTTGGAGGAACTTCTTCTACTATTCCGGTAGCCAATTGCTCTTCAATATTTCGGTTGTACTCATCGAGATACTTTGGATCCTTTAGCAATTTTTGATGCAGCGACTTTAACCGATTACGACACAGTTCATAATCGTCCTCGATGTTGTGATCATTGCCCTTCCATGGCAAGCCAACTGCATATCGTGCTCCTGTGAATCGAATATTTTGAACAAAATCTTGTTGCTTCGGTGGGATCTCGTGGTCGATGGAATCGCTGCTAACACTCTCCACCTCCCGAAAACGCTTCAACGAAGTAGTTAGCTCATCCTGATCACTTGCTGTACTAAAGTTGTCAAATTGTTCTCCTGTTAAGATGAGATTACTGAATGTGTTGCTGTTCAACTGAAGTTGCTTCGATGGTCCAGATAAAAGCCAACCCAATTTGCTGCTCACTGCGGTTGGGCCATTTCCTCCATGAATAACATCACCAGTGACTATATCCCAATAATGATCTGCACCCACGAGAATATCGATACTGTCGTTTGCGTTACTGCTATAACAGGAATTGAAATCTGCGAGTTCTAAACTGTCGAGGTAGGAATATTCGCTTATGTTTACCTTAGCGGGAAGGGGTGCACAAATCGTTGGAAAACCAATTGCAGTAATTTCTATACTTTCGACATTGTTCTTGTTCACAATGTTTACCTTGAACACTTCACAGTTTTCTCGTTTAGACTTGCTTTTGCCGAAGGTGTTTAGTTGAAGGGTTTCTTTTCCAATCGGGTTTAACCTTAATCAATTTTGAAGCGACTTCCGGATGTAAGACTTTTGACTTCCGGTATCAAACAATATACGGGCAGGAACTAATCTTGACCCATTCGACACAGTAGCTCTGGCGGTCTGCAACAAAGCACTTCCTTTGGTTGTCTGGGTAACAGCTGCGGTAGTGGGAGGGTCTGAACCTTCGGGACCTTTATTAGAATTTCGGTTCTCAGGCACCTTCTTGTCATCACATTGTTGACGGTTGTTGCTAGGGTTATTACAAATAGATTGGTGGTGTCGTCCAGAGCAATGTCGACACTTCTTTGTGGTATCGCACGTATTTGCGCGGTGCCCTATCTTTAGACAAACAAAGCAACGATTCGAATCCCGCAAAAGTTTCAATCGACTATCTCTGTCTGTTACCTTTTCGCAGGATGCAGAATAATGTAATTCATGGCAAAATGCACATCTAACCTTAAAACTACCTTCACCGTCCTTGCCATTTTTTGTCACGACAAAGGAACCCACAGTTGGAAGTGAGCCCTGTTTTTTGTTGGGGGGTTTCTCACTTGCATTCGAGCGAGCCATCTCGCTCATCTCTCGTGCCTCGACCTCTGACTTTATAGTTTTGAGTAAATCATCGATTTGCCAAACATTATCTGTTGCTTTACGTGCTACAAGCAATCTAATTTCCCTTGGCAATTTGGACATAATTACAGGGATCAATAAGCTACCATATTGGTCAGCGGCAATTCCCAGTGATGCAAGTCCACGAACATGCACACTTATTTTGTCAAAAATAAATCTTAACTCGGTCCGGTTCGGCCTTCAGAACATGCTGGGATTTGCAAGATTTGGTCCATGTGTACAGCTATAATTTGCTGTGTTTTGCCAAATCTTTCTTGTAAGATTTCGATTGCTGCATCATAATTGGCAGATGTAAGTGTAAAGTCCCTTTATTGAACGTGCAGCATTCCCCTCAAGTAAGGAAAATAAATAATTGGACTAGTTTACTTTAGACACACTAGTATTGCTATGTATTGCAGTGTTATATAAGTCCCAAAAAGAACTCCACTCAGTAACTTTCCCACTAAATTTTGGAAGTTCGAGCTTTGGCAGTCTCGGCAATGTCAACGATGTTGGCACACTGACAGGACTAACGGGGGCGCTGAAATTCGACGAACTCGTGTTCGTATTAATATTACTCGTTGCAATATTACTCGTATTAGTGTCAACATTACTCGCACTGTTTACACTATTATCTGTCACGCTATTTTCACTGTTGGTCGCTAAATTACCTGTATTTTCGTTCATATTCGAGCTGCTTTCGATTTGAGTTGTGGCACTAATGGTCGGTGATGTGACAACGCTAACGTTTCCCACATTTGGGATCTTCTTTTCTGCTTCGATTTTGCTTTTCGTGTTGAGAATTCGGTCAATAACGACCGCCACTTCTTCGATTTCGTGTTCTATCTCGCTTACTTCGCATATACCAAGAATTTCGTCGTTTAATTCTTTTAAAATCGTCATTTAATCTTCGAGTTGTTTTGAAATAACTTCGCATCGTTGAATATCTACATCGGTTGACTCCAGAATGTCGAGTGATTCTTTTATCAGCTTGGTTGCCACGCCGCGATTACCGCCTCTTTTGGCGCGAAGTCGCTCTAAATCTCCCTTCGACATTTGACTGAATTTTTCGCTCAAAACAGTTCAAATAAATAACTTATATGTTTCACGTTGGGCGCCATGTGTTAATCGTTCTTTACTCGTACTACTTCTCTCGTATTTCTCATCGAAACGGTAAAAACAATCGCATATAAAACCATACAAAGCAACATATATATTTTTACCCTACATTTTGTACACTATCAAGCCAACAACAACGTGCTCTGTCCATTTTACTTCCGCTATGACGTATGTTCCGCTATGACGTATGTTACAATAACATCAATTCTATTATAACACAGGTATATCATATTAAAAATGACTCATATTAGTATAGGTAATAGCATGGTTTCGAGTGCAATTTGGATATAACATGCACGAGTGAGTTTTTCAAAGACCTCAAAATAGCACGAGTCCGAAGGACGAGTGCTATTTGAGGTCTTGGAAAAACTCACGAGTGCATGTTTATCCAAATTTCACGAGAAACCATGCTATTACTTATTAATAATTTACATAAAAATGTTCGAGACAATTGTAGTTTTAACTTACGCGTTTATAGCGAACATTCCACTGGCAAAGTTTTCCTGGCCAAATTATATCACATTATACAACGCTAACAGCTTGAAAATTCCACTCAACTATGTAATTTTTGTTAGTCTTGTTTAAGGTAAATGCTTTTCCATTTAAAAATAAAGATAAAAGCCATATTTTTCACGCGAAGGCAACTTTTACTTTGTGTAGCGCGGCGCCATGTTTGTTTTGTTTTGAAGCAATCTGTGACCGTTACTTCTTTAAACTAAATTGTTTTAAACTGATTGGTTGATTTAATCATCACAATGTTTTTCCACCAATCAGATCAGTTTGTTACAGATTTTTGCACTGTGATTACAGAAAATTGCACTGTGATTACAGAAAATTGCACTGTGATTACAGAAAATTGCACTGCTGTTTGGGATTAACTGCACTGAAATCAACCAATCACAGTCGAGTAATATCTTTATGTATATTATTATTAAAGTTAACAGACTCAGTCTGTCAGTCAGTATATTAATTCAAATAAAGGTTAAAAAGCGCCTATTAAGTATGTTTAAAGAAAAAGATTACCTTCATGTGGCTGTCTTTACTCCGTCTGGTCCATATTGTCACGGAAATTGGGCACAAAATGCAAAAAAACGCTTAAAAACTACATTTCTAAACTAAATTTCAGAAATCGACAATTTGTTGTCACTTATCGAACAAATTCTGCCAGGCGCCTCCCGTTCCGGTTGCGTCCTCCCCAAGCACCCCCGCGCGCTCGCTCATCTTAGCCACTGATCTATATAAAAGTACTGTAGTGTGCCTATTTTTAGTTAATTGCGCCTGGGTACGAGGCTGGTATTAACGGTAAACCGGGAGAACAGCCAGATTTTATAGTAAATGATAGTCTAGTCAGTTTAAATTGGAGTCGCCGTTAACCGTTGTAATGGCCCGTTTACCGTTCTTTTATCAAACCACGATAAAGATTATTTAACAATTATTCGCCGAAGGCGAGGTGATTATCGGTGAATAAAAACCGAGACGAAGTCGAGGTTTTTATTCACGATAATCACCGAGCCTGAGGTGAATAATTGTTTTAGTATAATTTCATAGGTGATTATATGGAAAAAAATAAAAAAATACACATTTCTTCGTAATTTAATTGACAAAAAGGCTTCGGCCGCCATTTTGAAAATCGCTTAGGTGATTATCGCGTAATAATCACCTCAACGGCAACCAATCAGCGTGGAGAATTTTCAATAATCACCTATGTAATTATACTAAACTTGGTTAATCGTCATATAAAAAAATTCGGGTTAAATTATAAGTTTTAAAAGCAAGTTTGAGGCTCATAAACTATAGAGCAAATGACGTCATCTATACAAAATATCTATATATAGCAACAGTTGAGCGTGATATTTACATAATTGAATTAAATCCCAATGCATGTGTCTCGACCTTTATGCCCTAGTA